AATAAAGCATATTTTGCATGTGTGAAAATTACATAAATAACTGTACTTTAACCAGGAGGACAGACTTTCACTGATATATAATTAATAAATCTACACAACTTTTCTAGTAAAACAATATTGACTGTAGTGAATACATCATTGAATTTAAGAATATTAACATTTGTACAACAAAAGTGTGGTAAATATTTATATCGTTCTTTTTAGCTCACCTGGCCCGAAGGGCCAAGTGAGCTTTTCTCATCACTTGGCGTCCGTCGTCCGTCGTCCGTCGTCGTCCGGCGTCGTCCGGCGTCGTCCGTCGTCGTCCGTCGTCGGCGTTAACTTTTTACATTTTGAACTTCTTCTAGAGAACCACTGAATGGAATGAAACCAAACATGGCATGAATGTTCCTTATGAGGTGCTGACCAAGTGTTGTTACTTTGTAGCCGATCCATCATCCAAGATGGCCGCCAGCGGGGGACTTAGTTTAACATAGGACCCTATGGGAAATACATAAAAATGTCTTCTTTTAGAGAACCACTGAATGGAATGGAACCAAACATGGCATGAATGTTCCTTATGAGATGCTGACCAAGTGTTGTTACTTTGCAGTCGGTCCATCATCCAAGATGGCCGCCAGCGGGGGACTTAGTTTAACATAGGACCCTATGGGAAATACATACAAATGTCTTCTTTTAGAGAACCACTGAATGGAATGAAACCAAACATGGCATGAATGTTCCTTATGAGGTGCTGACCAAGTGTTGTTACTTTGTAGCCGATCCATCATCCAAGATGGCCGCCAGCGGGGGACTTAGTTTAACATAGGACCCTATGGGAAATGCATACAAATGACTTCTTTTAGAGAACCACTGAATGGAATGAAACCAAACATGGCATGAATGTTCCTTATGAGGTGCTCACCAAGTGTTGTTACTTTGTAGCCGATCCATCATCCAAGATGGCCGCCAGCGGGGGACTTAGTTTAACATAGGACCCTATGGGAAATACATACAAATGTCTTCTTTTAGAGAACCACTGAATGGAATGGAACCAAACATGGCATGAATGTTTCTTATGAGATGCTGACCAAGTGTTGTTACTTTGCAGTCGGTCCATCATCCAAGATGGCCGCCAGCGGGGGACTTAGTTTAACATAGGACCCTATGGGAAATACATACAAATGTCTTCTTTTAGAGAACCACTGAATGGAATGAAACCAAACATGGCATGAATGTTCCTTATGAGGTGCTCACCAAGTGTTGTTACTTTGTAGCCGATCCATCATCCAAGATGGCCGCCAGCCGGGGACTTAGTTTAACATAGGACCCTAAGGGAAATGCATACAAATGACTTCTTTTAGAGAACCACTGAATGGAATGAAACCAAACATGGCATGAATGTTCCTTATGAGGTGCTGACCAAGTGTTGTTACTTTGTAGCCGATCCATCATCCAAGATGGCCGCCAGCGGGGGACTTAGTTTAACATAGGACCCTATGGGAAATACATAAAAATGTCTTCTTTTAGAGAACCACTGAATGGAATGGAACCAAACATGGCATGAATGTTCCTTATGAGATGCTGACCAAGTGTTGTTACTTTGCAGTCGGTCCATCATCCAAGATGGCCGCCAGCCGGGGACTTAGTTTAACATAGGACCCTAAGGGAAATGCATACAAATGACTTCTTTTAGAGAACCACTGAATGGAATGAAACCAAACATGGCATGAATGTTCCTTATGAGGTGCTGACCAAGTGTTGTTACTTTGTAGCCGATCCATCATCCAAGATGGCCGCCAGCGGGGGACTTAGTTTAACATAGGACCCTATGGGAAATACATAAAAATGTCTTCTTTTAGAGAACCACTGAATGGAATGGAACCAAACATGGCATGAATGTTCCTTATGAGATGCTGACCAAGTGTTGTTACTTTGCAGTCGGTCCATCATCCAAGATGGCCGCCAGCGGGGGACTTAGTTTAACATAGGACCCTATGGGAAATACATACAAATGTCTTCTTTTAGAGAACCACTGAATGGAATGAAACCAAACATGGCATGAATCTTCCTTATGAGGTGCTGACCAAGTGTTGTTACTTTGTAGCCGATCCATCATCCAAGATGGCCGCCAGCGGGGGACTTAGTTTAACATAGGACCCTATGGGAAATACATAAAAATGTCTTCTTTTAGAGAACCACTGAATGGAATGGAACCAAACATGGCATGAATGTTCCTTATGAGATGCTGACCAAGTGTTGTTACTTTGCAGGCGGTCCATCATCCAAGATGGCCGCCAGCGGGGGACTTAGTTTAACATAGGACCCTATGGGAAATACATACAAATGTCTTCTTTTAGAGAACCACTGAATGGAATGAAACCAAACATGGCATGAATGTTCCTTATGAGGTGCTGACCAAGTGTTGTTACTTTGTAGCCGATCCATCATCCAAGATGGCCGCCAGCGGGGGACTTAGTTTAACATAGGACCCTATGGGAAATACATAAAAATGTCTTCTTTTAGAGAACCACTGAATGGAATGGAACCAAACATGGCATGAATGTTCCTTATGAGATGCTGACCAAGTGTTGTTACTTTGCAGGCGGTCCATCATCCAAGATGGCCGCCAGCGGGGGACTTAGTTTAACATAGGACCCTATGGGAAATACATACAAATGTCTTCTTTTAGAGAACCACTGAATGGAATGAAACCAAACATGGCATGAATGTTCCTTATGAGGTTCTGACCAAGTGTTGTTACTTTGTAGCCGATCTATCATCCAAGATGGCCGCCAGCGGGGGACTTAGTTTAACATAGGACCCTATGGGAAATACATACAAATGTCTTCTTTTAGAGAACCACTGAATGGAATGAAACCAAACATGGCATGAATGTTCCTTATGAGGTGCTCACCAAGTGTTGTTACTTTGCAGTCGGTCCATCATCCAAGATGGCCGACAGCAGGGGACTTAGTTTAACAAAGGACCTATGAGAAATACATACAAATGTCTTCTTTTAGAGAACCACTGAATGGAATGAAACCAAACATGGCATGAATCTTCCTTATGAGATGCTGACCAAGTGTTGTTACTTTGTAGCCGATCCATCATCCAAGATGGCCGCCAGCGGGGGGCTTAGTTTAACATAGGACCCTATGGGAAATACATACAAATGTCTTCTTTTAGAGTACCACTGAATGGAATGAAACCAAACATGGCATGAATGTTCCTTATGAAGTGCTGACCAAGTGTTGCTACTTTGTTGCCGATTTACTGTTCAAGATGGCCACCAGGATATTTTATTAAATAACGGGACCAATATTAATCAAAATTTGGCCTCAATCATTATTTGGGTATCTGTTATGATTTTTATCTATCTTTACATGATTTCTAAAACCAAAGTAGAGTCAGGTGAGCGACACAGGCTCTCGAGAGCCTCTAGTTTGAAAAAAGGACAAGACATTAAATAATGGAATTCATCGCCCATGTCAGCAGATTCACAAACGTGACATAAGCTCTCTGGTCTTTGAACATTTTGCCACCTCCCTATCTCCACTGGCAGACGGTGATTATTTCCTACCTAGTTATTTAACGTTATATTTGATGTGCCCTGTGGTAATATAAATATTTTACTATGCGTATTGCTATGTGTTTCTTTATTCTACATTGGCTAGATGTATAGGGGGAGGGTTGAGATCTCACAAAACATGTTTAACCCCGCCGCATTTTTGCGCCTGTCCCAAGTCAGGAGCCTCTGGCCTTTGTTAGTCTAGTATGTTTTTTTATTTTAGTTCATTTATATGTTTTGGAGTTTAGTGTGACGTCCATTTTCACTGAACTAGCACACAATTTTATTAAGGGGCCAGCTGAGGACCACCTCCGGGTGCGGGATTTTCTCGCTGCATTGAAGACCCATTGGTGACCTTCGGTTGTTGTCTGCTCTTTGGTTGGATTGTTGTCTCAACAAGTGCGTGAAGGGATTTTGTGTCATGAATTTATGTATACATCATATCCATTAGGATAACTAATTAGCGTCTTGATCTTCATAAGAACAATGTGAATTCGTATACCTGTACACAACATTTTATACGAAAAATGTGAATTCATACACCTGTACATAACTTTTTATAAGAACAAGGTGAATTTGCATACCTGCACACAACTTTTTATACGAACAATGTTAATTCGTATACTGTTCATAACTTTTCATACTAACAAGGTGAATTCGTATCGCTGTTCATAACTTGTTATACGAACATGGTAAATTCGTATACCTGAACACAACTGTGTATACACACAATGTTAATTCGTTTACATGTTCATAACTTTTTAATACTAACAAGGTGAATTCGTATCACTGTTCATAACTTGTTATACTTACAAGGTGAATTCGTATTACTGGTCATAACTTGTTATACAAACAAGGTACATTCGTATACCTGAACACAACTTTATATACAAGCAATGTGAATTCGTATACCTGTACACAACTTTTTATTCCAGCAATGTGAATTCGTATACATGTACCTGTTCATAACTTTGTAAACGAACAGTGGGAATTCGAATACCTGTTCATAAATTTATACGAACAAGGTAAATTCGTATACTTGAACACAACTTTGTATACAAACAATGTGAATTCGTATACCTGTACACAACTTTTTATTCCAGCAATGTGAATTCGTATACATGTACCTGTTCATAACTTTGTAAACAAACAGTCGGTATTTGTATACTTGTTCATAACTTTTTATACGAACAAGGCGAATTCGTATTCCTGGACACAACTTTTTATACGAAAAATTAAGGTTATTCGTGTACCTGCACACAACTTTCTTTACGAACAAGGAGAATGCGTACACATGGACATAACTGTAATACGAACAAGGGCAATTCGCATACCTGTACAGAACGTTTTATACGAACAAGGATAATTCGCATACTTGTTCACAGCTTTTATTGAATGCAAGTTGTATAATATCCACGTGTACTGTAATGTATGACCTTTTTATTTTCAGAGGTGTAGTGATGGTAGAGATTGATCTAAACAAGACAGACATAAACCAATGTGCTCAAGATGATTCCTTGTTTTCCAAGTCACACAAATGTTATACAGAAACCACGCAGGTAAAACAGCCACTACAAGTAAACCAATAATTTTTTTTTCGAAAAAGGACTGCACTAAAATTTCCAGATTGAATTGAAGCTCTTCTCAGGATTTTTATTCATCAAGAACGCTCAAACCCCCGAGGTGGGGATGAAGAAGTTCTCCCATACGTTAGGAGCCTTATTAACATGCATAATTTTGAAAAGATTGAATTTTTTTTTTTGGCAATTTCAAGGACTAATTACGGTCGGATTTTCTCCTTCAAAAGTAATCTCTCTCCTAACTTTAATATAACATATCCATAGACATCCCCTTCTCGTCGAATTTTTAATTCTTGAATACTTTTATCTGAACAAAGCAAACAAATGCTTTTTCGTAACTCGGATGTGGATTTTACAATTATCTAACTTTGGATGTAACACGTCTTCGGATTGGCTGAAAGTTTTTTGTCTATCAGCTCATAGATTCATATCCAACTAAGTCAGACATCACGTGACTTTTGTGACGCATACTAGCCGCCATTTTGTATTATATTGCCCCATATAAAATGCATAGGTGCTTCAATAAAGTTGAGTTTTCTCATGAACCTGACCCGTTTTCTAACTTTTGCAAATCAATCCTTGATATTCAAACATATTTCTATCAAACAATGTTGGTCCTAACAGTTTAATTTTTGATTAAATTCTGTCACTGGAGAATCGTAAAAACATGTACTTTTTCTCGTTATTTCTCCGTTGACTCAATGCTAAATTACCGATACCCATGTCTACTTGTAAAACAAATAAATTCCGTTAATAAAAATAAAACTTTGCAACTCGATTAAGTATATTCAAACATATATCTGGCGAAAAATACTATTTAAAACAGTTTAATTTCTGGGCAATTTCGGTCAAAAATCGATTTAAAAAAGTGAATATTTCGGGATTTTTCAAAATGGCGGATGATGTATATGGAAATGTTGCATCAAATCGAGGATTTGTATAGTAAGACTTTCCTTGATTTAATTTAATTTTCATGTAGAATCTCTGATGTTTCTGTTATTTTCTTTGGTGATATTTCGATATGATTGATTTCAAAATTTATTGATTAAAAAAATATTATTTTAAGTGTGACACGGGAAAATTTTATTTTGACAGATATCCAGGATATACTGTTACCAGAAAATAGTTAACAATAAAATTTATAATAAAATTTTTTCTCTTCTTTTTTTAAAAGGTTTTTTTCCTGTTTTCTGTATAATTTATCTTTCTTTAGAAATATATTTAGACATTCCTTTGAGAACAAAAAAATATTTACGTCCCAAGAGAGAAAAAAATCCCAACAATTATTATAGATAAATATTCCATACCTTCAAAATCCCATCACTTGACGAACAGGTGAACTCTGACTTTGGATGTAATGTTACATAACAATATATTGTGAGGTAGACGTGCAAACCAAAAGCAACCAGGTGACATTAAACATCCTGTGTATACATGTATTACCAGAGTTTAAATTTTGTGATATACAAAAGTTTTCATAACTGTACAAATAAATATCTTCTCTTCCCCGTGTCAAACCAGAAGAAGTATGTATCATAATAAACTTAAAGAAAATATGAATATTATAAAAAAAAATCTTTAAAAAAATAATTTTTGCTTTAAAAGATAATCAAACTAATATTTATGTTTCTATAATTATTTTAAAGAAATATTTTGATTCAAATTTTAATTTAAAAGGATTTTGTATTATTTCGTAAAAAATTAAACGAGATTTCATTGAATATGATTTTATTATTTATTTTTTTAATTCAATATTTTAAGCAAAATCCAGGCATTCAATAAATCGATATAAAGTGAAACTTGTGTAAAAAAATTTGTTATTGTATACATTTCAACAGAGACATATAATGCAATTGCTCTGATTTCAACAACATTGTATACCCGACAATATTTATCGACAGAGTTATCGGTCCTGAATAGGACTGATATAGTTGGGTATGATTGTAAAATCCACATCAGAGTTACGAAAAGGCATTTGTTTGCATTGTTCAGATAAAAGTATTCAAGAATTAAAAATTCGACGAGAAGGAGATGTCTATGAATATTTTACTGAATTTAGAATTAAATTATAAAGAATGACTGTCATATTTTTTCTGTATATTCGAATTAACTTCGAAAATGTGATGCACACTTTTAAATAAGCAGCTTCGCGGGTTATTCAGTGTGCACCACACTTTCAAGGCTATTTCTTCATAGACAGAATTCATTTGAAAAAAAGTCTATGTGCATGGGTGAGGGTCTGGATGGTGTTTATATTACAGACTAGAGAATAATGGGCCAAATCTACAGAACAATGGAGCCAAAAAAAATAAAGAATAGAGAAAAATAGGCCAACAGAAATAAGAATAGAAATTAATAGGGTGTTAACATATATAAAATAGAGAATATTGGTGAAAATAAATAAATAAAAAATATAGAGAAAAGTGGTCTAAAATATTAAAGAAAAAAGAAAGAAAGGAATGACCCCCTCCCCCCAACCCAACCCAGATCCTCATGGGTTCGTAATGTTCAATCTGTTACAGTAGATTGATGTATAGTGTTGTGTTGATTGTTGTTCGAATACACTGTTCTTTAAAAAAAAAACCACAACTAAGACGAAGTTTGATTATACATACGAATAATAGATGTTGGGTAAACGTCAATAAAACTACAATCCAACGAAAATACAACCTTTCAAAGACATTAAGAGGGGGAAAATAGCTCTAGATTAGTTCAGTTTCGATCATGTTTCGTCCTGACTAGGTTATGATACAATTCAGGCTTGGTTGTGCACAATTTTGACATGCATAAAAGAAGTGCAATCTATCCTTGTCGCTGATCACATATAAGTTCCGTACTTTTTGACATTTTCCTTTTTGACCTGGTGTTTAAATAGATATTTTCTCCCCTTTTTATGAACATGTTGTAATTCTGAATTTCTGAAGCAGATATACTTACGCAATAGATACGTCATTACATACATAAAACATTAAGTGACATTTCTGTTAAAAATAACAGTTTTTCATTACACCCTTTTAAGGAACTATCGTTTTTAGATGTGATATTATTCACCAAAGAGGTCAGATGGGTATTTATGAGGATATTAATTCCTATTAGTAATGCATGGCCTTATTTGAACAAAATATAATCACAACATGATCACAAAGCTTTCACAGTTTACTGAAAGTGAAAATTGCATCTTTATTTTATTAAATAACTTTGACATCGTCTATAGTGAAAACTCAATTAAAAGTGTTTTCAAGAGGAAAATAAAGAAAAATACACGTTCAACAAAGTTTCCCGAAGAAGCGATGAACATTAGAAAATAATAATTTTTATGCACATGAACATGTAAAGTAAGGAATTTTAGAAGAATTTTGATATGCTGTTCGGTAAGTCGATTGAAAAATATGAATCTTGTGACGTTATTGTAAACAACGTTATTATGACTTCTTAGTCTTTGTTATACATATTGAAATAGATATTGTAAACGTGTAAATTTTAGTCCAACTACTGTATGACTATATCATGTCAACACGGAGGTTGTGAGTTTGAATCCCGCACGTGGCTGGTGCGTTGGAATCCATTCTCAATTGACTAGGATTGTCAGTTTTCCTGCAAATGTCGGTGATTCTGTCTGGGCATTTCGGCTTCCTCCACCAATAAAAACTGACCACCACGAAATAGCCAATAGTGCTGAAAGTGGCGTTAAAACACCAATCAATCAATCAATGTAAACGTATAAAATACACGATTACGCGAAGAAACACATAACGATCTATTTACAAAAATATTACAAAATAAAAAGAGGATGCCTGACATGGGGATAATATGATAATATAGTGGGTTAAAGGACAAACTAAAGAGAAAAAGACGAAACAGTGAATTGAGGAACCGAAGTCAGGAGCCTGTGATTAGGTGGTTGTCGTTAGTTGCTGTTTTTGCTTTTTGTTTTTTACATAAATCAGGCCGTTATACATTTCAGGGCCTTTTATAACTTGCTATGCGGTATAGGTTTTACTCATTGTTGACGTATAGTTACTAACCATCCAATTCATTTATTCTCTGATGGAGAGTTGTCTCATGGACAATCATGCCACATCTTCTTATTTTCATATCGAACCCACCCAAAACAGAGTTGAAATCAGCTGCTTAGTAAGCGTATGCAACTATCACTTCACTACAGTGATTTCAATTAATGTATATGCTTTCTTATTTTAAAAGTAACGCTTTCCTTATTTTTCATTTGGATATTAAAGTTTCAAACGGGGAACTCTTTACTAAAATGAACAACCAAAGAAACATTTTTTCGTTCCTTATGGTTTAGTTTTCTTTTCCTGAACGGTGATGCTCCTTTTGCCCTTCATTGCCTCTTCCAATTTCAAAATCTGTTCAAGTACACGCCGGTCTCTGACAAATATATTTCTACCAGTAGACATAGCATCCTTGCTAGATGTACATTTATATGATGCAATTCCTATAAGAAATGGTCTACCTTACCTTTTGAATATGCACTCCATTTACAATTGTTGCTTGAAAGTTTCCTCCTTTTGATTTCTAATCTTCTCTGTATCATAAAAAGTTACTTTAGTGTCAGTTTTCAAGTCCGGGCGTGTTAAATTAGGAACAGTTATTGATGTTTCTGTTAACATATTATATATATTTTTTTTCCAAGTCAGTTTAATATATACACCATCAAGTTAAAAACTGGCTTCCAAAATTCAACCAAGTCTTCTGAAATTTGAAAGAGAAAGGATATCATCAGGCTACCGGAACATCTATGGGGCTCGGTATAGGGTAAGACTTGCTTCCTTTCGTTTTTATTTTAATATCCCTTTTGTGAAGTCTGCTATGCAAACACTGACACATGTTGGAGAGACGAGAAAATGAATCAGTTAGTTCCTTGGCTATACAATTGTCTGTTGGAGCAATTTAATATAAAAATAAGGAGATGTGGTATGATTGCCAATGAGACAACTGTCTACTTAAGTTCAAATGAAGTGGATTAATTGAGTACATGTATGCATTCGCCTACTTTCACGAATTCCTTCCTAACCCGGTATCGGTGCATTTTAGATTGTGCTTTAGAGTGCGCAAATGTTTTGTACTTTTGTCTAACGTTGTGCTTTAGTGTACGCAATTGTTTTGTACTTTTGTCTAACGTTGTGCTTTAGAGTGCGCGATCGTTTTGTTCTTTTGTCTAACGTTGTGCTTTAGATTGCGCAATTGTTTTGTACTTTTGTCTCACGTTGTGCTTTAGAATGCGCAATTGTTTTGTCTAACGTTGTGCTTTAGAGTGCACAATTGTTTTGTACTTTTGTCTAACGTTCGAAACGCGCCTTGAAACTCTTAGATTTCATTATGGTAAAAATTGAATTGCATTCTTGTTATCCAAGTGAGTTTCAACCCACATATTCATGTATTCGATGATTTTGTATTTGGTAATAATTTGATGTTGTTTATTATCAATACAATCAACAATAAATAGGACAATAAATCAGAAATAATGAAATAAGCATTATCATCATTTGATATATTAGGCACCGAGTTTGTTGATTCTTATCATATGATTTAATATTTAGAAGATTCCGTTTAGAATTATTTCCAGAACAAATTGGAAGCAATGTAACATCTTAAATGTTTAGGACATAATCAGCAAATCTGCAACAGCCTCAACGGTGCTCCAGAAGGGTACCCCTTTGGTCGCATGCAAGGTCATGTCTATATTTTCCCTGAGGTCAATTTTTAAAAATGAGTCGTCAGGTCGCAAGGTCGTCTGTCAAACACCTAAAGGTCGCAGGTCGGATATGACCTTGTTGGGACCACCTCAATGTCAAGCTGTATAAATTTACTAAGTTAAACATGAACCTTTCCACATTCTCTACTTTTGATCATTAAACTATTTCAAGTTTCATTCAATGTAATATTCTCACATGAGATATACTTCAACGGAACTGATCAAGACCATTTTTTTAAGATGGCTTTCAAGACATCTTATGGTTTATACCGGATGGCCCATTTGGAAGACTCCCGCCGTAACCTTAGTGTGCTTTTTTTAAACTTTAACACGCGTCATATTGATATAGTATCTCACTATATAAATCCTTGTTGACGCTAAATCTTCATATTGTGTACATTGTACACATGATTTGTTATGCGTTTGTACAAATTATTAATAGTCAGAAACAACCGAGGTTCTGCAGATTAATGTAAATAGTGAATTGTGTTTATATTTTCTACTTGTAGTCAATATGTTTCATGCAAAATGTATCAAAGAGAATGATATTGCAGGTCCGGGTTATATAGTATACTGAATGTCGGGCGGATGGCGGAAAGGGGGGGGGGACACCAATTTTCGGAGGTAGAAGAAGGAAACTGGAAGAAGAGCAGAAAATTAAAAGTGGTGTCATAGATTTAGGACATATTTACTTGTTAACAGCTGCGTTCTTTCGATCAAACTCATAAACGGTCTAATTGCAAAACGTATTTCAAAAGACCACAGAGTCTCCATAAGAGAACGAATTATGTACTTATTATTTTTGTTTTCGTTGTTTATTTGTCCGTTTTTTTTTTATCTGAGTAAAAATCTGTATGCGTGAGTTATCCGATTCCCGAAAAAAAAGTGGAAAGAATTCAGACTGAATAAACTGGCAATATAAAGTTTATATTCATGCAAATCCCGATATGACCTCAGTTGAAATAATTTTGATTTGATATTTACATGAGCAACACGACGAGTGTCACATGTAGAGCAGGATCTGCTTACCCTTCCAGAGCACCTGAGATCATACACGGTTTTTCTATGTTTTGTTTTGTATAATGTTGTTTGTCTTTTGGTCTTTTTTGCAATGTCATTGTCAGTTCATTTTCGACTTCAGAGTTTGAATATCCCTTTGGTATCTTTCGCCTCTCTTTTGTATACCTTTATCCGCATCTATGTTTAAACCAAAAATGAATATTGGTATTTGTTTTCAGTGTGAACACATACCTGGAGGAGGATTACGTGCCGGAAGTTACAAATGCGTCTGTAGACCAGGGTACTACTTTCCTCTTCAGAACGCTACAACTAAATTTTTCTCTGGAATTACAATGGAAAATTCGTTTCTAGATGACTATTACAACAAATCATCAATGAACAGCAGTGACTTTCAATGTCTTCCATGTTTGCCCGGATGTGAACTGTGTGATGACAAAACGCCATGTATGGCGGAATATAATATATTACTCCGCGGTATTCCTCTTGGTATACAGAGTTTCTGTATTACAGTATCACTAGTGATTGGCGTGGCCGTTTTAAGACTACGCAAGACAAAAGTAAGTAAAGATGTTAAATAAAAGAAACAATAGCAGAGTTTCGTTTTGTTTGAAATGTATGTTCTTCTGCATGGTCAACAATACACAATAGCTTTTTTTCCTCGGGCTCAATGACTTGTTTATGGTTTAAGAATCTAACCAATAAGGTATGGAAGAAAATTAAGTAAGCGCAGTTCTTTATTTATGAATTGCATGATTCTGTTTGAAATTTTATTATGATGTACGCATAAGCGATGACCGAAGCACATTTTGTATGAAGCGCTTCATACTAAGTAACATGTGCACACGTTCAACGCTCTTACAACCCAATAAAATTACAAAAGACATTTTAGAAGGGGAAAACTCTTAAAAAAAGTACAAAGCGAGTTAAAAATTTGTTTTATACGAATACAGATGGATTCACTTTTTTATTTGAAAGAAAGAAAATCCTTATCAGCGTTTTAGAAATAGCAGTTAAAGGCAACTAGTTATCGGATATAACCCGTTCGTAATCATGTTACATTTTGCTTTGCTGGTATTTATCCGAACATAGTCAGCTCGAAAGGGCCTTTGGATCATTAAGAAATAGTAATAACATTAAAGGTACCAATTTTACTGCACCAGGTGAGCATTTCGACAATAAAAGTCACCAGCTTTGTGAATGCATGATTAAAGATTTGTGTTAAGTTAATTTTATATGTCAAAATAGACATCTGGTGATGCAAAATATTTATTTCCTCCATGTGATGTTTTGTTCTATTTTGTAACAGGTGATGGTTAGTGGTATGTGGGTTTTACTCGAGATTATCCTTATTGGTGCAGTCTTTCTTTATGCTACAGTAAGTATATTGTGTAGGAACATCACAGTAAATAATGATGATCATCTTCGTAAAAATTTAGTTGTTATTGCAAAGGCTACCGTGTGGCTGTTTTTACGTAAACTGTTGACACAAGAGATATGTCTCGCCTTTATGTTATTTTGATAATGCAAATGGCAATCATTTAAAATGTCAACTATGCAAAACATTCAAAGTCAATGAGCCATGAATGTGGTTGCATGGCTTAATAACCTCCAAGGAAATAAGAAATGCCAAGTCTTATGAAACTGCATACCAAATACCTTTAACGTATCCCTTTATACTAACCTAGAAACAACCTTTACCTTGTAAACTATGCAAAAACTTCAGGGTCAATGAACCATAATGAGGGGCGGGGTCATTTTGTCTCCATGGAAATGAGACTTGCAAATGACAATATAGCTGCATACTAAATATCATTGAGTATTAGTAGTTCATTTCTAACTGACCTAATCAAAAACTAACACATGTTAACTATGCAAAACATTAAAAGTCAACAGACCATGACTGAGAGAGGGCCTTATAATTTCCACGAAAGTGTGCTATTGATACATCTATTAGAATAATGCCATTTACAATCCAATATTGATTACCCTTAAACTAACATAATTACAAACTAGTTCATGTAAACTAGCAAAAGTTTCAAAGTAAATAACTATTCCGACATTCCTTTATATTACTATGTATCGCCCAACCCATTCTCAGTTTTCTCATCAAACATTTAAACAAGACACAATTTTCATTATTCACCTCAGAAACTGTTTTAACTAACAAACTTTGCACTGATTAAGTGTATGTTATATTGAAATGTTGTCTACCTAAAAAAATATATTTGAAAATAAAATCTTGCTTACACTAGATTAATATATGTTTAAGAATGTACTATTATTTATATTTTACTGTATCTTTTATTATACATTTCCTGTAATCTCCCTGGATATTTAAGCTTAATTTGGTTATATGTTTTCCTCTCAATGATCATATATAGTATATGTGCTTCTATATGTTCAATTCCCCTGCAGTGCCTCTTCGGTTTTGATAAGAAACCAACAAGTCTCGAATCAATATCAACTATTATTCCTCTAGATGGATTTTCTACTCCATCGACTTCCGAATGCAGATAGATAACTCGAGTTCCCCGGCATATTACGTTTATGCTAATTGCACTTCTTTCGATATGATGACAATCTGTTGTGTTTCCAATATGAATTGTATAGGTCACATGTCACAAGGGATAAAAAAAATATTGCTTTTTTATTTCATTGAAAGGATTTTTACATTTCTTTTATTTGTAACTGGACTATTGGCTGAAATGGTGAAACATGATTTGAATGCATTTTATTGAATTAAAAAAGGGGGAAGGGTAATATCGAGATTTTATTCCTAGAATAAAAAGGTTCATATAAAAGATATATCGGATTTTAGAAATCATAACCAAATCATCAATTGTTTTAACCAATCAAAAAAACAAAATGGTGGCAGTTGATGAGCGAAAACAGTTTTGCACACTCGTTCCTGTTACGGTCTGTGATTTCATGTTTACATACATAGTACACAGGAATTGGATAATGCTAGTAAAAAAATAATTACAAGACTGACATTATTGATGGTAATATTTTGCAGCAACCACATTAGGCTTTTGCACATGACCGAACCGTTCAATAATCTTCAAAGTCGATTCGTAAAACTAGTTTTGAATCAGTTTTATATGAAAGTTGTAAGTAAACATTTCTTGTAATATCGACATTAACTTCGTGACGTAATTCTGGTATAGAAAAACTACATATACAGGAAATCTGGAATATAAGTATATTACAACTCTCAAAAATAATATTTAACCCCGTCAAATTCTTTATGCTCCGAAGGCAGGAGTCTGCAATTTAGTGGTAGTCGTTGGTTTCTACCTTCATATCTGATTTTCGTTTATTGTTGCACAAATCAGGCAGTTGCTGTTCCCTTTTTAATTGTCTCACCTTTTAACACCCAGTTCTTATCATATCTTGCTCATTGTTCTAGGCCGTACAGTGACTTGCAATTGATCTCATCTTTGTCTAGGTTTTTATGGCAAGCATACCACATCTCTTTTACTTTTGTTCCCTAAATGCAACAAGCACGTTCAATTTCCGATAATGTTCCGACGACAGTGTATAGCGTCTGAATCGTATTTCGATTATAGATATGAGGGGGTAGACAGGGGGTACCCTTCTCCCCCTCCCGCCCCCTCCTCCCACCCCGCCCCCATTCTTCCACCTCCCGCTCCCTATCTCCTACCTCCCAATTTTAGAATCTTTTTTTCTCTCCCACCTTAACAAAGCGATATTATTGTTAGAAACATATTATTAAGTGTATACTTATGTGCACAACGCTTCTCTTCATGTTCTTTGCAATTATAAAACGAATGCTGGAATAATTTCCCTTTATGATAACTCCGATTCTTAAGCTTGCGTTGACTTCACATTTTTATTTTATCTCAACTGTATTTCAGCTATACAGTGGATGTAATATAAATGTTATGTTTAGGAACTTTTACACTAAATTGAAACAGTAATGGTGTTGATTTCTAGAAATAGAAACAAACTTTTCTATTTCAAATGCTTGTAAACAGTTCTCAAATGCACTAGACATAGGTTTTATTCGTCCAAATATTTAAAGCTTACTTGAAGAGCGATATATTAATGAAATTGCGAAACTGATAAATACTGCATCTGAATTATAGCAATAGTAGATTACGACATTCAAACCATAAAATCCAATTAGAATATACCAAAATAAGGGAACAAAAAGCCAAACCTCAGGGAATCGTATGTATTAATATTTCATTCTGACATTAAAGTTGTGGCGTTTTATAAGTGCACACAATTTAATAGTTGACACAATGTAACTGTGGTAATATAGAAATTAATAGCAACCATGTCTATACATTTCGGAAAAAAAACATATATGATACTTTCGATGACAATGATACTAACAATTTAATCATCAATATTAATATTTTATGTTCTGTCTATTTTCCAGGTTATCATACAATATTTTGAGCCTACAACGACCATATGTTTAGTGCTACCATGGTTTCGGGAGCTAGGATTTGCGGTGGTTTATGGTGCATTAATATTAAAAGTGTATAGGTAAGCCGATGCTGAAAATTGCTAAAAGAATTTATAACACAAATCAACACTGTTAATATGACAAGTATCATAACTATCTTGAACTATTTTGCTGTTACAAAATTTAGAAAATTATTTAAATTAAGGAATGTATCTCCCTCATGCAAAGCTCTGATTCCTTGCCCGGCTTTGGCTTTACTTTTTTGTCCTTTTTTTGGTTTATAGCTCTTCATCTTTTTAATAAGCTTTGGATTTTCAAAAAATTTGCCTTCGAGCATCACTGAAGAGACATTTATTGTCGAAATGCGCATCTGGTGCAGAAAAATTGGTACCGTTTATGTTATTGTGTATATCAATATGAAGTTAGATGATTGAAACAGCCATTTTTAACGCAAAAATAACGTTTTGTAAAATCGGCAAACATCTATTTAACGGTTTCTAGAATTCCTCTATTAAGAAAAGGAACTGTTCAGATAGTTTAGGCATACCATGCATATATCAGACTATTTAATTCTGATATATTTGCACTTGATATACACTTGATATGAGTATCTTATATTTTGATTGGTTGATGGCATGTGCATTTATCGACCATTTACTTTTATCAGATGACTTCGTTCATTTTCACCACCACAGGGGTGAATCTCTGAAATATACCTTTTAACCCTCTCTGTCGTGGTATTTATTAAAACGTATTTTGACTTTTGAACGCTTCACTGAAACAATTGTTAATTTCAGCTCTTTATCCAATGCATCTGTTTAAAAGACAGTTGCGTCACTGCTGTGTTCTAGATGCCACATTTCTTATTGTCCGGTGACAAGAGGTCATCATACCAAACTGGTCGAAATAGATGTATAATGCTCCTATGTTCTCTAGTCAAATTTTGATTTTTAGATTAAAAAGAGGTGGAATTCCATTTACATGATTAGAAATATTGAACACACAGATTACCTTTTAACGCGAATCCGATTGAAGACGTTCGGTTCTTCATTGCTATTACATTCTTCGGTTGTTTCAACATTAAATCAAAATATTTCCTTTTGTTTTGATACTGAAAATAAATGAGCTTGAATGAACAAAAAATACGTAATCGCAGTTATTTGAATAGATTGAAATATTAACTTAAACGATAAACCAACAGGTAAATTATTGTCCGAAATCGTTGCCCAAACGATAAACCAACAGGTAAATTATTGTCCGAAATCTTTGCCCAAACGATAAACCAACAGGTAAATTATTGTCCGAAATCTTTGCACAAACGATAAATCAACAGGAAAATTATTGTCCGAAATCCGTGCCCAAACGATAAACCAACAGGTATATTATTATCGTCCGAAATCCGTACATAAACGATAAACCAACAGGTATATTATTATCGTCCGAAATCCTTGCCCAAACGATAAACCAACAGGTAAATTATTGTCCGAAATCTTTGCCCAAACGACAAACCAACAGGTATATTATTATCCGAAATCTTTGCCCAAACGATAAACCAACAGGTAAATTATTGTCCGAAATCTTTGCTCAAACGATAAACCAACAGGTATATTATTGTCCGAAATCCTTGCCATTAATCAAATGCAAAATACTGGCAATTGGAATAATCTTTGACTAGAAAAATAAGCAGTTTGATAATCAAATGAAATGTCGGGATGGAGAATAGATTTTATACCTGATATATTTGCCAACGTACACAATCAAAACTCCTTGTCCTGATTTAAAGATTGTCATTGTGAAACATTAATTAATGACCTGCCGATTTGATGGATACTGTTAATTAAAGACGGATATGAAGGAAATAGTCTAAATCAGATTTTCTTTTTACCACTTTACATGAAAAATTTGTTGGCTGCTGATTGACTTTTTTAATAGAGACAATCTTGACCTTGAACATCGATAAGTAACCAATCAGAATTGGTTTGTCACATGATCACCCTTTTATATCCTATTTAATGGCGGCATTGTTTAACACGTCTTAGGAATTTTCAGTCCTTTTCCTCGGCTTGTGTATTAGAACATCAAATATAGAATATCGTGTTTTTGTTTATGAATTATCAGTTGCCAAATGGTTCTTATGTACCGCATGAGAAGAAAAAGTGTGTTGCTTCGTGCTGGTTCCGACCGATGTTTACAAAATCAACTATCGGGATAGGGTAGACTTTCAGTAAAGTCCGCAAAAGATACTGACTGTGTCGATCTCATTGGCATGTACAACGTTTTAAAGCAAAACTGTTTTTATCAGTTCTTAGTCCGTCCAGGCTCAGAACACTTCCAGATCTGTCATTCGCCTACTTAGAATGAAAATGAACGTATTTATCAACAGTAAAAAGATACAGAAGGACACAATATACTATTTAGACATTCACCTTTAGCTTTTCTCTTATTGTGAAAATCAAAAACGCCTCCAATGTTTGCTTATTCCGGTCCATAAAGCCGATAACCAAGAACTAAGCAATCTTGTTACAGTTACAAAAAGATCGGTTATAAAAGAAGGGGTATGGGATAAAGAGGGTAAACCAAGTTGGATCTGGAAAAAAGAAGGATAAATACAACCTGATCTTTGGTAATGGGACACACCAGTGTCACTCCCTCGGTACTCGCGCATGTTTTTGTAGTTATGATCTCAGTTTAGGCCGACTATTACCCAAAAGGTCAAGCAGTTTATCTGACAGCCTGACAGCTATTAATGGAATTTCATAGGCACACACAAGCTTCGTGTAACGAATCTGATGTGTTGTATATTGAATATAAAGTACCTTTGGTGTTTACTGATCAGAGTAAAAGAGAGACGAAAGATATCAAAGAGACATTCAAAAATCATAAGTCGGAAATAAACTGACAACGCCATGGCAACAAAATACACAGCAAGCTTGGCATGGTGCAGACTTTATTGTGCCGTTGTGTCCTTGATTTCTATGTTATTTGGTCAGATGGAATGTTTATCCTTTTATTCTAAACTTATTATCAGGGGCGTTTCTATGAAAATATTTTGGACCTTTTTGTTGCTAAAAAACATAAAATAATTGTGAAATGCACTAATGTAACGGTTCCTGACTTGGAGCATGTATATTTTATAGTTTTTTTGTTTTTTTTTTAAGGGGGGGGGGGGGGGGGGGCGTACGCCCATTACGCCCTCACCTGGACCCGCCCCTGATTATTATTATTATTTTGAAAATAAAGTAAAGAATGAATGAAAAATCTGATACCATTGCTAATATGTATCACTTTATAATCCAGGAAACCACATCGAACGCACTAAATCATAAAATATTATTTTTATTTTCAGGTTATTAGGAGAATTTCAGTCAAGGAAAGCCCACAGAGTACATGTTCGTGATAAAGATTTAATGAAATACTTATGCTGTGTTATAATAGTAGTTTTAGGATATATGTCTGTGTGGACAACTGTAACTTTAGATCATATTAGAGAAGGAAAAACTATTCTAGATACAGGTGTTACTCCTGAAGACAATTTGAAATATTTAGTGTGTAAATCAGGATGGTGGGAATATGTTATAGAAAGTGGTGAGTGTCTATTTTAATGTAATAAGTTTTTCCTAAAGTTAATGAAGTCAGTAGTAAGTGTATGGAGAGCAGCTGGATGTTTAAATTTTTGAAATAAGTGTTAGTCAAATATAACATGGAAAATGGAAGGTGATTTGTTTGTCCTGCATTGAGAGGGGAACGTGGCGTGGTAGATTCAAATGAAAAGTTACAATTTTTTAATGTTTCGTTGATCCTTATAAATTAGGAAAATTTCTGTTGTATCTCTAAAAAGCCCTGGATTTAGAAATCTGAAATAGACAATCAGATATAAATAGCTTGATAATAAGAAATAGAACGTTATTATTGATGCTACTTCAGACTATTGAAGTGATTTATTAACCAAACAAGTAAATGATGAATTAAATCTATGACACATATATGCAAGTAAGATACATACATCTTTCATATGTTTATTATAAATTTGTGTAGTTTCTTTACATAACACATGTTTTAAGATTGAACATGATGCATGGAATAGGAATTATAGGAATGAAAGAAGTTTTAGGATATACATCATTGAGAATACAACTCAAAGACATAATCAATAAAAAGAGTTCAAGAAGGGAACATGCAGTCTTCAACAACAGACAGAAAAACATTAACGGTATCAATTTTACTGCACCCGATGCGCATTTCAACAATAAATGTCTCTTCAGTGATGCTCGAGGCCAAAATATTTGAAAATCCTAACTAATTCCAAAAATGAAGAGATTCTAAACCAAAAAGGACAAAAAAGTATCACCAAAGACCTGACAAGGAATCAGAGCTTTGCATGAGGGAGATCCTTTAAATCACTTCGAGTTTATATTGATACATGCTTAATCATTTAATCAGTTATTTGCAGCTAATTTTTTTTTCCTTTTCAGCTGAATTATTATTTCTATGTTTTGGTATATACCTCTGCTATCGTATAAGATCAGCCCCTTCTGATTATTCAGAAGGAACATATATTTCTGCAGCAATATGCTATGAGGCAGTTATTTCAACAGTATTTTATGTACTTAGGTAAGTTTGTCTTAGGAGACAGTTATTTCAACAATTACGACCATCTGAGGAGGGGGATATCCATAATATTAGCAGGATTGACAATTGGATATCCCCCGACTTATATGGACCGTTACTGGTTTATTATACCGAAGAAAAGAATTGACATTCAATTTGGCCTCATCGGCGGGGAATAATGGGGTTATTCACCGGAAGGTACAATTTGTCCAGGTTATTCACCGGCACTGAAGATTTGGACGAAAATATCCGAATTGATTTACACCAAGTGATATTTTATAAGCCAATAGATTTATTCAGTTTTAATAAATACTAATACACGGTATGTACTTACATTATTGTTTATTGTTTATGCTGTGAGGTAGTTGTGTCATTACTATATTGTTTCATTATTATTTAACGTATGTAGGTAATTGTATAGGTCGACGGTTAATGTTACGAGGCATTTATTGCAATAGTATTTTTATGTAAGGTAAGTTTTATCTTCTGAGGCAGTTATGTCAACAATATGTTATGACTAACACGAAAAAATTCGCTGAGCAACAAATGTTCGAAAGTTATCTAGAAAATTGTATTTATAAAAGCTATGTCATCATTATATGATGAATATCTATTGTATATTCTACTTTTGTACATCATTCAAGATTTCTTACTAGAATATTCTCTGATAATTATAAACTCTTTGACAAAAAGCGGCATATGACAAAATGATAGATGATTTTGCCAAAACATTTTGGATATTTTTTTATTTTAAATGCTCTTTAACATCGTTACAAATTTCGAATGCACTGATTTATCATATATAGACGAAACGCGTGTCTGGAGTTAAAAAATTACAGTCGGATTTTTAAGGTGAAATTGAACAATAAAAATTAAACTCTTTAAGGTGGCATACCTAGATTGTTTACATCTGGTTATTGAAAGCATAAAGTAAAATAACAAAAATACCGAACTCCAAGGCAGATTCTAAACGGAAAGTCCCTTATCAAATTGAAAGTATAACGCAGCTCATAGTGAACGACTATTAATATGTTATATACTTGGTTATCCACACATTTTAGTATGTAGCTAAAAGATATATAAATTCATATTTTAAATCAAAAACAAAAACCTCTCTAAACAAGGGATTCCATTATCTTAATATTTGAAGGCTAAATGTTGATATAACTACTTTTGCTACAATAAAAATGCTTTGATGACAGATTTATACTTTTGGATCTTTAAAAAAAACACATTTTTTTATCTTTAGTTTATTAGTCTTCAACATCTGACAATTTCTAATCTGCCTTTCGCGAAATATTTCATATGATTTTTGGGGGTATTTTATTGATCTTTCGTCGCCCTGAAAATCAATCAGACAAATCTTTAATATAGTTAAAAAGCATACAAATTATAATTGCTTTTTAGTGAGAAGAAACATTTGTCTATCAAAATAGAACATTCAAGCAGGATATAGTATTAGTGTAATATGTAATGGGATTAAGGGTTTTCAAGAGCTATCATGACATCGTAAAATCTAAAATGGCTACCTTTTTCATGTGTGAAAAATATCAATATCAACGAGGACACTGTTCTGACGAAGTACTAATCTACCTGATCACAATCCTGGAGTCATTGATTTTTTTTATAGAGACAATAAACAAGATCCTTCAAACGAGAATAACTGTTATGCCAATACTTGTACATGAATTTAAGGTTCCAATAAGTTGAAACAAACAAACTATTTCTTCCCTTTCATTTCAATTTCATCACTCCTACGATTTTTATGCCTAACCGAACATTGTTGTTTTAAGACATTGGTAAAATAGACTTCATTATCCCCGAGTCGGAAAAAATCATTAATAAAAATACCGAACTCCAAGGTAAATTCAAAAGAGGGATGTCTATAAAACCAAAATCAAACGTTAGACTATAACAACAAATGGAACGAATGGAAAATAAATGTCACATTCCTGACTTGGTGAAGGCATTTTCCGAAGAAAATGTCGTGTTAACCAAGGTTTCATATCTAGTTTAATATTCAACTTGTATGACAGCTGTTTATAGTTTCGTTATATTGACAAAATTGGGTGAACAACCCAAACTGACATTTTTGGTTAATGTGACAATAATAGGGATTCAGCAGCCAAAACAGTGTAAACATGCATTCAAAAAATAAAACACAAATTTGTTTTATAAGTAAACAAATACGCATAATTCTTTATAAAGGACGACATGATAAACCAATAATAAAGATTCTGACTTATACCTATAATCTATTGATATTATGTATTTTTCAGGCATGTTTATTGGTTGAATCTTCATCCAGATTATTTGTTTCTTATGTATTTTGTTCGTTGTCAGATGACTGTTACAATTACCCTTCTTCTCGTTTACGGACCAAAAGTAAGTTGAAAAGATAATAAGATACTTAGAGTGACAATCAAAATAAAAAATGCGGAAAAACAAACTGGGGAAAAAACGAAAGATACAGAAGCAGTTTTAATTTGAGCAACACAAGAACGTCATTTAAAATTAAAGCCGAGCTGACAGAGTTAGCTGATAGCTGTTCTTATTGTACAAATTTCACCCACTGCTGCACAGTATCCGCTAAACCGTAATTTGGTCAAAATAAAAGATTTGTTGATGATAAACTGTTCATGATTTGGATAAGGGTTAAGTTATATTGCAAAGATACAAACAAGTGAACAATCACTGACATGGCTTTGGGTCGATGTTTTCTTTATAAAACGTTAAACTATTATTTGTTTGGTCTAAACAATGGTCATTATGGATAACACCTGAATGTGATATGAAATAAAAGTTGAAAAATATCAAAGCCTGTACATAATTTCATTTACTTAAGGTGGTACCCAACACCTTGACTAACATTAATTTGGCTCGTTTAATTTTCCTAAAATTTTGACAAAATGTTTACTTTGACCCTTTGACAAAAATATAAAAATTTCAAAAAATTTGAACCAACCACTTTATCAGAAAAATTTCTTTGGTTATATAGCAGTTTGACAAACACTAATTTTGATCATTGAGAAGCTTAATATTTCCTTAACAATACAACGTAATTAAAACGTTTAGCTAATTTTTACAGAGTTATCTCCCTGTAGTGTTAGGTACCACCTTAATGAACATTTATCCATTAGAATGCGAGATATTGTTTTTTTCAAACGATCTGTTCTATCTGTTGCAGCTTTTATATGCACATCGCCCACCTGAAGACCACCATATAAGAAATCGTGCTCCTTCTGAGGCTACAGACAATATGGCGCCGGAAACGCTTAAATTAAATGTTGGTATTTCCTCAAATGGAGACGTCGATGTAGGGGAGATAAGTCTAGCTGATATGGACCCAGAAGATATCAGAGTAAGTCCGTTATAACATTCACAGAAATCTTGTTTAAACACAGAAGGTAGTAAAATTTAATTGAAATATCATAATGGTCACTACAGACTTTTAAGTACAATGATAAAAATACGAAAATGTGCACTTTAGCCAACATTTGTGTTAGAACTGTATTTGCCTTACCATTCGATCTCATTATCCATTTGAATTCTTTTCTTTCTCGGGTTTCCAGAAAAAGAGATTTAAAAAATGACTTAATTAATCATTTTATTGATTCGGCCTAAAGACGTGTAACTAACATCAGTACTGATAAAGAAGACTTGGTTTAAAGAAAATTTCCTTATCTAATATAGCACCCATTACATTTAATAATTTACAATTTGATTAATATGTGGTACGATTTTAAGGGTGTCAATAAGGCTATTAGACTCAGATTATACAAAAACATTAATTTTATACCTACAGCATTAGCCACGCCAATAATTAAGGTTCCAGTGATGTCTCATTCCGATGGAACAATTCATTGTTTAAAATAATGTGCTGGCTAAATGTGTCAACTATAGCTATGTATCCGTACATTAGAACTTTTTCAACCTATTTGGTATTAATGAGTAGGATAAGGTTGTGTAATGTATATATTTGCTTCCTTTTACTTCATTATCATACACGCAATAGGTTTGGTATTAGTACTGTGGAATCATGTGCAATCATTGATCACAAGTACACGTTCAATGAAATGCATTTAACTGCCTCAGAATAATGTGGAGAAAGGGATGTCAAACCTTAATTAAATGACATGCAAGTAAACTATTTCAGTAAAACAAAAATACTGATAAAAAATAAACAGATTGTGGACATTGCATTTAGATTCTGTAAGTTATGTATAAGATTCACGTCTAGTCACTCACTAGTCTAAAAGAATTTCTAAATAGAGGAAGACGCGAGCTTTGATTTTCAATGAAAAATATCATACTATTGTAAACTTGAAAAATTATATATACTTAAACATATGCTTTAATACTTTGAAAGGGAGCTTTGCAAAATTTGTTAAGAATCGATTAAATGTAAAAACTTTAATGATCAAGTCTAATTGGTTGGCTCATAGCACATACTATGCTTATGTGGGATGGCGTCTGCATGGTTGATTTTGTAAATGTATTTATACCAGGTGAGAATTCTAGATACAAGGAGCCTCGTAGTGTGTATTTCGAAAAGAATTATACAAGTAACGGTATAATTTATGTGTTTTATTCTTTCCACTAATGTTTCCTTGGTATTTGATTGATAATTGGTTATATTGTACAAACTTTGCCAAATTGGCATGACTTTGTTTTAATTGTTGTTTTATTGTTTAATTGTTTTTGTCTTACTTGGAACATTACGAAGAGATAGGAATGTTTCTATTATCTTATTTTTTTCTGCCTAGCATTCTAGATAATTTAATCTATATGATGTGCAAAAACAAATAGGGTTTTTCATGTGTATTAATAGTAAGACTTTACACAGTTACTTTTAACACGCACAACGGGTGCCACATGAGGAGCATGATCTGCTTACCCTTCCGGAGCACCTGAGATCACCCCCAGTTTTTGGTGGGGTTCGTTTTGCTTAGTCTTTAGTTTTCCATGTTGTGTCATCTGTACTATTATTTGTCTGTTTGTCTTTTTATTTTTGGCCATGGCGTTGTCAGTATGTTTTCGATCAATGAGTTTGACTGTCCCTCTGGTATCTTTCGTCCCTCTTTTAAGAGTTGTTTTATCAGAAAAAAATATTAATCAATAGATCCATTTTATAACAGAACTAAATGTGGGCAACATAGTTTACCGATGTTCAAATCTCATAAATCAATTTAGAAGATAAAAATCAAGGAAACAAACAAAAACTGAGGAAATCACACGAGTTCAAAGTAGCAAGACCGGATGCGTCGACAGGATAAGCGTCTTCTACTTTGCATGCATCAACCTACATGTGAATTCACAGTCAGTTAAAATTTCACAATCGGCAATGGATCCTTATCGGTTAAACTGCAGATCGGACGACTTGTTTTCTTTTTAAAGATTTAAGCCGCAAAAACATGACGCTAGTGTGTTTAGTCACAAACACATCGTATCAGTAAACCAACTTATTATGGTGATCGTAAAACTTATGTTGTGTCGATTTCAGTAGTTCCTCCATATAACTCTTTCAGTTCATTTTTTTATGTGGAAAGGAACACAATTGTCATACTGATATAAATCCATGAACAAGATTAGCAGACCAATCCTATATACATTTGTAAACATAATCCCTCTAGACATAGAAAGTTAATTAACAAAAAAACCGAACTCCAAGGAAAATTCAAAACGGAAAGTCCTTTATCAAGTGTCAAAATCAAAAGCTCAAACACATCGAACGAATGGAAAACAGCTGTCATGTTCCTGACTTGGATAAGACATTTCTTTATACAGAAAATGGTGTATTAAACCTGGTTATATAGCTAGCTAATTTTCTCACTTGTATGACAGTCGCATAAAATTCCATTATATTGACAACAATGTGTGAGAAAAAGAATGTGAAAAAACCTAAGACTCCATCTAAAACCCATCTTCGCTAGCCAAGGGTTACGATCCATTTCCCTCCTCTCCACCTTTGGCAGATTAAGCCAACATTTGTGATAACAATGTTGCGCCATCTATCGGTAGATTAAAGTCACGCCCATTCTGAATGCATTATTCTTGACAAATGGTAGCACTTGAACTCTTCAATTTGGAGGTAAAACCACGGTAGCGTCTAGATTCTACACACTTGGTAAAGCAGGAAACGAAAATATACGTTGACATTCATGCATTTGTGCAAGAAACATACACAGGAATTTCTATTATTTGATTAAAAACATTCAAATTGTCACTAAATATAGTCGTATGTTTAGGGATGTAACGACTTGTTGCACAATAAGCACGTGGCAATTGTTTACATACACTTTCTACATTTACACGTGATCATGTTATAGGCACTTTTTGATTGGATGCAGCGAGTTTCGACTGCAACCAATGAAAATCATTACCTTGTGTCTCCGAAATTCTATCTCAATCCGCCAAGGGTGGAGAGGAGGGAAATGGATCGTAACCTTTGGCTAGCGAAGATGTCTAAAACCGGGATGAAAGCAGGTGCTCTAGAAAGGGCACTCGTCGTGTTATATATTGCAAGATAAATGTCGATGATAATTGAATAGCTAGTATACCTTGCATTGTTTTCCATATTAAAACAATACAGTTCCAAATCAGTTATCTTTTACTAGACCAATGTCACTCTCTGTAACTTACAGTCTACATCTAACTTTTACAATCTATGTTATCTTACATACAATATTACAATTTCATTCATGTATCAAACCTCATTTCACAGTGGGTTTTACATTTATAGCCCTCTTTAGACAATGTTGGATATTCTTAGCTGAGTGTAAAACTATGTTTTCGAGCGTGTTGTTTCCCTTGCTGAAACAAATGTGCAATTCCTGAAATATTGAATGTTTATAAAAAGAAATTTCGTTTTTAAGTATAAAAGATATGCTTATTATACGATTAAAAATCAACCTTTTTTTTGTGTCGTTAGCATTATTTTTATGATGACAGAATGAAGAAATACATTCATAAATTTGCTTCTGCTTTATTTGATACCCGATCATGAAGACATCCTATCAGTACAAAATGTATTGTATGATAATACCTTATTTTAGATTTTCTCTCTAAACGTTAGAAACCTCTTACTTCTTTCAAAATTTGGAACTGACTTATTTAATATGTAACATTATTCCTGTATACTTATCACATGTACTAATACTCCGAATTCAAAACGGTGGCTTCCTGTAATTACAGACAGGTCAATCGTGCATTTTATCCCTAAAATATATGACGTCGTTCATCCAACGTCATCGTTACATACGAATTGAATTAGAATTACCAACACTATGTTAAGAACTCTTCAAAGATGACAGTTATTTGAATTATTACTCATTTGGTTTATATTTCTTTTTTTCAGGCTGAGCTTAAACGTTTGTATACCCAACTTCAAATATATAAAACACGAACAATGAGAAAAGACAATCCGCATATTTCTAAACGAAGAGGAGGCAGAAAACAAACACATAGGAGATTTTCATTACAGGCATTCCATCATAAACATAGACATCACCATAGTGACCATGATCACGAACACGAAATGTCGAAAACACCCGAAGAATCAACGAACAGTGCCGAGGCTGTTGCACTAACATTTGAAAGTGCGTGCGCGAATCGTTGTGACGGTGACATTCATGATAAGGAGACAAAACCAAGAGAACAGTGTACAGTCACTTTTAAAATGGGCCTCAAATAAAGATTTTTAAACTACATCTATATTTTCTACAGAATTTAACAAGTGCGCATTTGACAGTGATCTGTACTTGAAATACGGCCAAGGAGATAGCCTTATAAGCTACATAAGAAGAGATATGTGTTAGTGCGCGGTTTGATACAGTGAAATGTTAGTAGGAAAACAATGAAAATACCTCACGTGATAGTAATGGAGCAGTTTGAGGTTTAAGGACCAGAAAGCAAACACTGTCTCAACCAAACAATATTATAAAATATTTATGATTGGCTAACAATGTCCTAAACAATGGAAATTCAACAAATGGCGTGACGTTATTTTCATTTGGGGTACGAACAATGAAACTACCCGTATTCATTTAGATTCTATACGGCGAATTATGTTTGACTGTTCATATTGTACTTCAATTTTCTGTGTAACTGTTATAAATTAGGTATTTGTTCTTGAAACGTAAAACTCGATGAGCGGTTGTCATGAAAAACACATTTCAACTTCAAAAGTGCCATATCCAAGGCAAATGTGTTTCTACTATCAACTAATACATTAGCTAACATGATACTTAAACTTTTCACTTTAATATGAAAGATATACTTAATGTGGATGCAATAACAAAATTAATATCAATGCATTTTTCTTAGCACTGATTCGGAATAACTGTTGGGTATCTGAATATCTATAAACGTTTCGTACTTCGATGTCTCTTATAAAACTTGAATTTCAGGAAACTGCAAACTGATGTCATGAAATTTGATTTTTAAAGAACATTTAATGGGTCACATAAGTCTTTTTGTTTAATAAAATTAGAATTATCGAAGCAAATCTAAAACGCCCCACGTCGATAAAATAGAATACAAACAATAAATATTTGTTTGGCTCACCAAACACCTTTGCTAAAGATCACATTAACCGACATTACAATTCACACGCAAAGTTGGTGAGTCTGCCAATACAAATTAAATTTTTTGAAATGGTGAAATAAATAAACAAAAGTATCAGATACTGAACTTTACCTCAAACAATCGAAAGATTCAAAAAAGACCTCTACTTAAGTTCGGCTTAGTTACACTTGGAACTATCAATTATTGTGCCAAAATATTCCCATATTTCATACACGACTTAATTATATAGTGCCATTTTATCATTAACTACTAAGCAGTATACAAGGTGGTAAACCTAGGTTGTGGGAGGTAACTATTACAATCACTTGTACTTTTGTCCACCATTTTTCGTACATGTGTTTTAAGCTTCAGAGTAGCACAGATTAGGTATGTTATGAGTTATCTCCCGTATCCTAGGAAAACCTCCTTTATTTCAAAACGGTTTTTACTAATAGCCATTTACTTTTGTAAAAGATTTCATGAAATTTACTTTTAATAAATCTTATTATATTAATAATGGAAGGTATTTTAAAGATGTGTGTGTTTATTTTGCTTGTATGTATGTGTGCGTGACTGCAAGATTTGGTATTTACATTGATCGAAAAGATAAGAATGACATATACTTCTGTAAAAAAGAATCATATGAAATTTAAGAGAAAACTGAACATGCGTTTAAGCTAAAAAATACAAATTCCCTTCGATAACTTATTACAATTTAGAATAACTTTTGATTTCGTGAATACGTATTTATTGATATAGTTTCTGATTTCATTCATATTAGAAGATGGTTAGAGTTATTTCCCTTTAGGTAGATTTTCAGTTTAAACACTAACTTTATCTAAGGCTGTAAATCTATGATAGTGTTAGTGAGTATTCTATGATAACAACATAACATAATTGTTATTGACCTAAACTTGCTCTGCAACACCTGGTCATAATAGTTATCTATTTACGTCATGTCTTTAAAGTTAAATTTGCCGTGAATAATATAGAAAAAAATCCGACTAGCTGTGAACAATCACAAAAATGTGCGATAAAAACTTTTCAAGAAAAAAGGGAAAAAGGAAGGAAGACTTTAAGATTGATTGGAAGAAACTAGTATTCTTGTAAAACGTAAAAATAAAAAATAACGACAGACTGCTTGGCTAAGTATGAACAGAGTCTACTAACTGTCAATCGATTATATTTCTCTTTACTATAAATAGACCATGGAGGGTTTCTACAGTATATCGCTATGTATATATATATATTACCAAATCTCCTTCCTTTTCAGCTATGTAAGTAAACAAATATTTTGTAATAAAATTATAAATTGTTATATTATACCATTGTTTGACTTATTGTGTTTTTGTTGTTCAGAAAATGGGTAAGATGGATAGACGGATAAATGGAAGATACATTTTCGATTTGAATAACAGTTTTTTAATTTAGATTTTCAATGGTTTATAATTTCATCATTTATTTGACCTTTAATGAGGTAGACCTTGGGTATGGGAGACAACTCTTAAAAATGTATTGGAATTCATTTGTGCATTTTAACTAACCGATTATTGAATCAGTGACCAAGCATTTATGTTGTTTACATTTTTTGATTAGAATGATGCAGCCGTATCTAAGATAATTGAACCAGTATTGAATTTTTTTTTAAAAGCTGAAAAGGTAGAAAATTCACATTCATACATGAAATGCATCCAAACTTGAAAAAGGGTGAAATGAGAAGTTTTGGGAATGACTGACTTTTGTCATTATTTAGATAAAATTTTGAAAGGTTTTGGAAAAATTGAACCGGGAAAAAATGGATTAAGTAATGAAGTTATCTAGAAGAAATGATCTGAACAACCATCCTAGTACAAGCTAATGCTAACAGATAACCTACATCAGCACACAGAAGGGGGCCTCGGTGGCTGAGTGATCTAAGTAGTCGGACTACTGTATCACAAGTCCATCAATGCTGAGATTGTGAGTTGGAATCCCGCACGGGACAGGTGTTCTCGACTCCAATCTTAATGACTAGGATTGTCAGTTTTCCTACCGAAGGTCGGTGGTTCTCTCAGGCCACTCCTACTTCCTCCGCCAAATAAAAACTGACCGCCACGAAATAGCACAATAATGCTGAAATTGGCGTTAAACACCGATCAATCAATCAATCAGCTCAAAGAAAGGATTTGAAAAATGACAGAATGAATTTAGCGTCTGTTGACTCGATGACAAGGAGGTTTGTAGTCTGGTGGATGAAAACCTACGTTACGTATTATAATGTTAACATGTAAAATCGTCCCAAGGGTAATCGTCCCATAATGAATATTTCTGATTTTCCGTTTAAATTTGAATACATTTATTTTTGGCACCAAACAATTTTCAATAAAGCACACAAGTATAATGCAAAGAGAGATTGTAGAAGGTTTTAAAGAAAAAAAAATCTATTGTTCTTTTATCTGTTAGCCATATTGTATGTTGTAAATTTCAGGCGGTCAAATTCCATGCAAGTTTGTGATTTTTAAGGTAGCACAATACAAAAGCGACTAAATTTTATCAAAATTTCATTTTCAGCTGTTTTTGTTACTTCTTAATATTCAAAAACCACAGAAGAAAAACTTATTTACATATCTTGCACTGTTAATGAGTTTTGATGATAATTAGTTTTGTAAACAAATGCACGTGTCTGACTGATACAAGATAGGAACATGTGGGCAGTACTATGTGGTTAATCAATAGAATAAATCACCACTGACCAGCATTAAAATAACAGTTATGAAAAAGAGGTGGATTAGGGATTTATGGAAAAATGAAGATAATGAATTCTAAATAAAAATACATTTCTGTATTGGAGCTGCCAGGAGAAAAAACAAAACAACTATTTGGAGCTATAGAGGAAATCAAAATATAAATGTACAGATATTAAACAAATATAATTGTACAACAATAAATGTTGCTGATGTTTATACTAGAATTTCTTGAGGAGAATGTTTAAATATGAATTCTTTTTAAAACAAAATACAAATTAGATATTTCATTTTCAAACTGCAAAAAATGAAAAAAATCTACTTTGTGTAAAACACCATATTGTCATTGTATACAATTATAATTCTAGAAATCCCTCACAAGGATCCTCTAGACTGACCAACTGATCATTTTGTGTACACATGCATAACTTACTTTTTGTAACAATGCAAAAAACAAAATATATCATTTTATGTACTAAAAGAATAAAATCCATATTGAAAAAAGTAAATGCAATGTGTAATTAAACTACTGAGATCATTAATAGTAAAGGTTTATCATGGTGGGCGGAGTTTTGACCATATCAGTAGCAACTAACTTACAGCAAGGTCAATAATGATATAACATCCCCGCCAGATCTGATTTTTGATGCATAGGGTGTGCATTTTCTTTATATATTTAGAATTGCTGTATTGGAATGCTTTCTTGCTGGTCAAAACCTAATTGATTTATGATTAAAGGCCAATCCTGAAGTATCCCCATGATACATGTGTGAATTATATTGAAGTTAATGGGGTACAAGTAGGAAAATCCTTATTTATTCAATTGTGACAAATTCATTTTTGTCATGAAAATGTAGTTTTAAATGAAATTAGCTCCTAGATGGGTGCCCGTATATGCCTGATTTTCACACATGTTGTTTCTTGACCAGTTATCTTCAAAAGTGTGTCTCAGATTTCCAAAAACATCAATAGAACAAAGTTTATACCCAATTTAATTTAGTGATCTCTTATGAATTGAGGTTGCAAACTTCATTGAAGGTTTATTAGAGAATGAAATACAATAGGAAAAAATCTGAGACACCCTTTTGGAGGTCAAACTGTGTTGCATAAGAATCTATAAAATATTTTGGGATGGTATGAATAACAAAGAAGCTAATTTCATTCAAGTGTGGACATCACAATATAGCAACTAATTACATAATAATTAATTATGTAATAATCATGTCATAATGAAATAATCACCATTTGAAAGATTAATCTTTCTTCTTTCTTTTGGAACCTTATTTATAAAATTTAAAGCTGGATGAAAGAAATTACATCAGTTTAAAGTTGTCTGATTGGGGGTGAAAAAATCTTTGTATTGTGCTACCTTAAGGTTTGTAAACAATTATTGTGTCAACAAATTTTTGCAGGAATCAAACTTAATCTCTTCTGGCTAAGTTGACAAAATTAAATGTGTTATCTAATAATGCAATAATTTTCTACTTGTTTAAAAATTTGAACCATTAATTTACATTCAGGCTATAAATATCACCATGCCATTTCAGACATACTTTAAAATATGTGTCTACTATAGTCCAGCAGATTGGTGACAAATTGTGGGTTTGATGATAAAAGCACCAAATTTGGCATGTTAGCAGTTCTTTGTATTTCAAATAATATATTTCAAAATGGCGGCCTTTTTTCAAGATGGCCGCCATAAAATATCAAAATCAACATTTATCATTTATATAAGGTAAAATTTAAGGGCAAATTTGGGATGATAGTAGTGCTGGGTGTTTAGAAAATATAAACTATGAACCAAGCTTGAAAATTCAATATGGCGGCTTTTTACAAGATGGCCGCCACAAAAAATATGAAAAAATTAACAAATTTCCCTTATTTTAGTTCAAACTTGTCATGTGTGTAGTGCTGGGTGCTTCGAACAACATAAGCTATGGACCAAACTTGAAATTTATAAATGGCGGCTTTTTCCAAGATGGCCGCCATAAGATATCAAAATCAACAAAATTCACTTATAGAAGGTTACAAAGTGTTTTGTTTTGACGTATCTTCAGTAAAACATAGTGCCCTATAATACCTAGTGTATGCCACATTTATATACTAAAGCCAAACATCAAAAGATTTCTGAGGATAGTATAGAAAATCGTAACTACGGTACCTTTCTTGCAGAACAGTCGTCTACAACGAGGGATCCCGTATAGACACTGGCGTTATTCCAATATTTAAGCTAGACTTAACTAAAATGTATACTTTTCGACTCGAACAGTTTTCTGTGTGATCAACTGGAAGAGGACATAGTAATGATTTAAAAATTGCAGTAATCTCAGGCTTGCCAGACCATTAACAAGGCTTCTTCTGTTTAGTTGCAATTTAACAAGCAACCGCAACAATCTGTTTGTATGACATTGATACTTGAAAAGCTGCACATTCAGGTAGTTCAAAAAGACATGATGTAGGCAGAAGTCTTTTCAATAGTCATTCAAAATATAATTGATAATCGTTTGGCCAAATATTCAGATAAAGTCGAGTTATTTCATTGAGGCAAATACGACGCTATCCATTTCAAAGTTACTTCTGTTTTATTTCTCTATTCTTCTTTAACATTTAATTCAACTGAACTAAAACCATCTCATAATGTATATAGGCCTTCCACTGGATGCTAGGACTAGAAAAGAAGGTACTACATGACAAAATGTACAGTTTACGTCTGTCGTTTATGAATGGTCCAATTATGCATTTATCTACTTTACTAGAAGATTCCTTTTATGAAACATTCAACATTGACCAGAATATGTGGTTCCTCCCGCGAAACCTGTGGTTTTTACAACAGCAGTCGTGAATAATATAGACAACACCAAGAGTTCAAATACGTCTGACGAATCATTACACAGTACGATAATTTCCATATTTCAGCTTTTTCTTAGTCTAACTTTGCAAATTCGTCATAACCTTTTGCTTTGAAATATATGTATTTCACTTTTAATCTCTGGTACTTTAACCAATATATTATGTGCCAGCACAACTGTTTTATTATATTGATATAACTTAGTATATATTTTACTATATAATAAGATATATCCTTAATACTAACTAAATATAACCATGCGTATCATACTTGCATCTAATAATAAACTGTTAATGGACACGCACTATGTCAATTGTCTAACCAGATATACATGTATGCCAACCTGGTATAATTAGTCAATTGTATAACTATATCCTCACATGGTACAAATAAGTTAACAAAATGATAACACAGATGTCTTGAAGCAGATGATAATGAAAACATTAAATATGTCTGGACAGCATTCCACGCATGTAGAGCCAAGACAAATGGTCTTCCGCCTTTATATATTAGTCCGCATGCACCAATTGTCCAGGTAGAGATCAAATCTGTCACAACGATTCGACATGCCATGAATACAATCCAGCAATGTGTTAATTTTTTCCGAGACATGTACCTTGTGATCAATCGTTTTTTTGCTTTTGCAAAATCGGAACAGTGGAATTGGGCAAACTTATTTCTAGCAGAACAAAGAATAGTTTTGTTTTAGATCTTTATATAGAAATAGCATAGAAATTGCATCGTTGAAAACC